AATGCAAACACAGAGAAATTGCAACAGAAGAATTTACCAAAAAGATCCTCCATCCAAAAGCAACATCCTGCAGTGGAAAAGAATTTTCTAGAAACTGGAAGTATCGCAGATAAGAAATGTTCTGGACATCCCTGCACAAGTGATTTTGATGTTGAGTGTGTCAGAGAGACAATTTTACGCAATCCTAGAAGACCTGTGAGATCAGCGGCAAGAGAATTGGACATGCCGATTTCGACGGAGTAAAAGATTATTAAGAAAAAATTAAGACTGCATACAAAGTTCAAATTTTTCAAGTTTTGGAACCAGACGATAGGCCTAGGAGGATGGCCTTTGCAACAGATATGCTAAGGAGGATAGAAGACGCTGCTGAATTTCTGAAGTGTATAATGTTCTCTGACGAAGGATCCTTTCAACTTTTTGGCATTGTTAATCGCCATAATGTGCGCATATGGGAATCTGAAAACTTCCATGAATACTGTGAGGCACAAAGGGATTCCCCAAAGGTTAATGTGTGGTGTGGACTAATGCACGATTGAATCATTGGGCCTTTCTTTTTTACAGAAAAGACTGTCTCATCAGTCGTATGCTTGAACATGTTGGAAGACTTTGAATTTCCACAACTAGAAGAGCTTCAGCCACATGTCTTTTTGCAATAAGATGGTGCACCACCTCATTGGGGTACCATCGTTCGTAGTTCTTTGAATGACCATTTTACAGGAAGCTGGATTGGGCGAGAAGGTCCAATTCCTTGGCCACCCAGATCACCTGGTATAAAACCGCTAGACGTTTTCCTCTGGGGATTTGTAAAGGACAACGTTTACAGATAAGAGTGTCGAACATTGATGACCTAAAAGCCAGAATTACAACCGCAATAGCCTCTATGAATGCCGACATGTTTGCCGGTACCTGGCGTGAAATTGAATATCGACTTGATATTCTCCGTGCGTCGAAGGAGGCACACATGGAAGTTCATTGACAAGGATCATGAAACTTTTTGAGTCTATCTAACCATTTATGTTATTAATTTTAATCTATCTTTATTATTTTATAAGTTATTAAACATCAAAAGGGTCCGGGACTTTATAAACATCCTGTACTTTGTTTCCTGATTACTTGGTCACTACATGGAATAGTGTAATGCATTTTTGTTTGCATCATATACAAATTATTTACTTTATTTAAATGCTGTCCAAAACTGAATAGATTTTACAAATATATTGACCATTTCTTATCTTATCTAATCATTATTTCCTATCTTGTTCATCTGCGGTTTTGCAGCTGAGTATGATGGTTCGGTAAAACAATCGAAACTAGTCCTGTGAAAATTTTAAAAATTAACGCTGATTTTTGTTGTTTGACTTCTGAATTAGTACTTATTCGGCGTGTTATTGTGTCTTAATCATATTGACCATATTTTTCGGCCTATAGATGCAACACTTCTTAACTTCAGAAATAAGATTTAGAATTAAGAAATAAGAAGAGAGAACAGTATTTATGAATAGAAAATAAATATATATGCAAGCTAGCAGAAGGATGTCTTCATAAAGGACTTTTTAAGAGAAACTGGTTTAGATTCACATTACATGCAAGGAAAACCACAAAAACGTCCATATAGACAGCTTGAGCTATCAGTATTCAGTGGCTTACCATTCCACCAGTAGTGAATTCCAATGACTGTTCGAACCTTTCACAGAAATCATCAGTTATGATAATTGTTGTGTATTATTACCATTGGTACAAAAATTACTCATCATGATAATTTAATTTTAGCTTTTAAATTATAATCATAAATTACTTGTAATAAATTGAGTGATTAAAAATACTCACTTCATAAATTTTTTTTACCATTACAAAATTTATTCATAAAAAGTATTTCTAACACTGGTACAAAATTACTCATTATAATTTAATTTGATTTCCTTCGATTTGAAATGGTTGTCTTTACATTATGGTAACTTGGCGTTTTTTGGCGACCAACTCTCCTACAGCCAACCCTCTATTTTTTTTCCCCGCCGCCATTTTGTCTTCACGAAGTAAAGACATGTTTTTTTCTTTTTATATACTGAACACTTCTTCCAACAATCGAGTAGCCGAATTACACTTATGCTAGAAATTTTATCAAAAAAACTGCTAATCAGACAATATTCACTGCAAAATTGGGGGGAAAGTGCACAATACCATACTCCTTACGCGTTTTTCAAAATAAACCATACACATAAACATGTACACGGCGACTTATTTTACTTAAAAAAACATCCGAATTCACAAAAAATGGCATTGCGCACACTCTTCCTATATCCATGTACACTGTTTTTTCTCATAAATTAGAAAATTTCACGAAAATACATGACAATTTTCTCAATCTTAAAACCCGTAAAAAGACATATATGAAATTACTGCGAAAAAGTATTTACCCTTTACAAATATGAACATTTCCACATAATAAAATAAATAAAATATCCAAAATTTTATTTCTAAATCATCTATTACATTATACAAGTCACCACGAATTCATAACCGCAAGCATTACAATACTTAGTATCAAATATTTAAAATTATTTCCATGCACGTTATTTCAACTAAAGTTACCAATTCCTACAAACAAAAATTCACAAAATAAACTATCATTTAATTAAAATATCACTAAACCATGTACACATCGATTATTTTTACTAAAAAAAATCCCACAATTGCACAAAAATGGCATTGCGCACACTCTTCACTATATCCATGTACATGCTTTTTCTCATAAATTAGAAAAATTTCACGAAAATACATGACAATTTTTCCATCTTTAAAACCCGGTAAAAAGAACATATATGAAATTACCTGATCGCGAAAAAGTAATTTAACCCTTAACAAATATGAAACATTTCACAAAAATAAATAAAAATCCAAAAACTTTTACCTCTAATCATCTATTACATTATACACGTCACCAACGAATTCATACTGCAAGCATTACAAATACTTAATATCAAATATTTAAATTATTCCATGCACGTTTATTTCACTAAACGTATACCAAATTCCTACAAACATAAAATCACAAAACACTACATTTCATTAAAATATAATTAAATTTCAAAAAACACTACTTAAAATATAAATGAGCACATACATTAATTAATAAAAATTACCTTACAATCCTAATTACTTTAAACTAATCATTGCTAAAACAATTTTCCCATAATACAAAATTCCTTTCCACTTGATTACGTGCCGAATAAACGATTCTTTAGTTACGGCCATGGGATCCAAAAAATTACGAAACTGTTTCACACAACACAGAAAAACCAAACAAAATTTCCAGATTTTTCCCGATTTCCCCCTTTTCCGATTCAAGAACCGTAATTCGTCCATTAATATCACATGACATATCCCATGATCTCTCATTCCCTCACACAAATAATGCGAATCGGAACTGACGCTCACATTATTACCAAAGTCCAGGTAGTACCTTTACGCCTCCAAGATGTCGCCAAACTACCAGTTACCATATTGTAAAGATCAACCTTGAAATATTTTTTAAATTCTTTTTAATAACAGAATCTAAGAAACTAAACTAGTTATGCCTTTTCTAAATTTCATTATTCATAACATAAAAATTAACCTTTTGTAAATTTAAAATATTATCTAAATACTAACTAAACTACTTAAGATATTAATATTTAATAAAATAATAGGTACAGCTTGATATAGGACCCCATTGGCGACTTTTTGGACGGTTGTTTTTCTGGTAAACCCAAGCAAATTTCTAGAATACTCCACTTCGGCAACCTGTTGCATTCCGTATTCAACAAATTTCTCGAAATTGAAGGGGCATAATTGGGCAGGTATAGGATTTCTTTGTAAATTGACCATGATTTTGTAAACTTACTAAATTTCCCATTCTTTTATTTTTAATTTAAAAATGTATTTGAACTCCGTTTTCAGTTTTATAACTTAAAACTTACATTTCAATATTGCTGCTTAAAATATGCTCCATGACTTGTGTAGCGTTTCAAACTTTCTTTTTTAAACATGCATTTACCATATTATTTTAATTTGAAACATGTATTCCGAGCATATTTCAATATTTAAGCTTGTAATTGTATTTTCAGTATAACTGCTAAAAAATATGCCGTTATTTATTTTCAGTTTCATGTTTAAAATATATATTCTAAATTTGTATTAATTTTTTTTTTTTTTTTTTAAATGTGCATTTTAACTATCAATTTTTATTTAACTTTTTTAACTTGTTTTCAATATTACTACTTAAAAATGTCCCCTACTTACTTATGTACTTAATTTGCTGCTAAATATATTCTAAACTTTTTCTGGCTAGAATGTGCTTCCTAACTTGTGTTTCAATTTAATGGTGGCGACATTTCTGGTCGCCAGCCAAAAAATCGCAAAGAGGTCCTAACTCAAGCTGTTCCCATAGTAATATCATGTATTTAAAATATTAACCTTTTGTAAATTTCGTTACTTTCATAAATAACACTCCGTAAATTCATTTACAAAGGAATCTACGGTAGTAGAGGTAAATGGATTTACGGCAGTGTTTCAAGAATTTATCAGAGCAGTACTAGAAATGTTGAAAATTAGAGAGACTGTTTATTCTAACAAGCGCTTATTTTTTAGGATTGTTATTTAGTCTAGATCGGGTTTTATTGACAATCCGCCATTTTTTTCCAATCTTCAAAGCCGGGTCTACCTCGTCCCCAAAAGGACCAACACTAAAGCTGTTCCGACATTTCAACTTCTTTATCTGCCTAAATGATTTATTACATACATGATGTTGACATCCTTATTTACATCCTTTTTGTAGAAATAAATTAATACTTATGTACCACGCACACACACAAATTTTCTCTCTAGTGTAAATAAGCACATGCTTCTTAAACTACCCACTTAAATAAACATCTTACATACTTCACATATATCAGGTTTCTCTCCTGAGTGAATAAACGTATGCTTGTTTAAATAGCTTTTTCTGATTGAATCGATTTCATTCATATGTCACATATATAAGGTTTCTCTCCTGCATGAATATGCATATGCATGTTCAAATGAACTTTCTGAATAAATGCTTTCGTACATACTTTACACATATGAGGTTTCACCCCGGTGTGAATACGCATATGTTTGCTTAAACCACCCTTTTCACTGAATGTCTTCTTACACACTTCACACATATAAAGTTTCTCTCCTGTGTGAATATGCATATGCATGTTTAAATGAGCTTTCTGATTAAATGATTTTTTACATACTTCACACATATGTGGTTTCTCTCCTGTGTGAATAAGCATATGCTTGTTTAAATTACCCTTTTCACTAAACGTATTTTTACATACTTCACACATATGAGGTTTCTCTCCTGTGTGAGTAAGCATATGCTTATTTAAAGCACCCTTTACACTAAATGCCTTTTTACATACTTCGCACATATGAGATTTTTCTCCTGTGTGAATAAGCATATGTATATTTAAATCAGTTTTTCGATTAAATGGTTTTTTACATACTTCACACATATAAGGTACCTCTGTGTGAATGCGCATATGGCTGTTTAAATGAGATTTCTGATTAAATGCCTTCTTACATGTTTCACACATATGAGGTTTCTCTCCCGTGTGAATAAGCATATGTATATTTAAATGACCCTTACGATTAAATGATTTCTTACATATTGCACATACATAAGGTTTCTCTCCTGTATGAATAAGCATATGTTTATTTAAATCAGTTTTTTGATTAAAAAATTTCCTGCATACTTCACACATATAAGGTTTTTCTCCTGTGTGAACAAGCATATGTTTGTTTAAACTACCCTTTTCACTAAACGTCTTCTTACATACTTCACATATAAAAGGTTTCTCTCCTGTGTGAATACGCATATGTTTGTTTAAACTACCCTTTACATTAAACGTCTTCTTACATACTTCACACATATGAGGTTGCTCTCCTGTATGAATAAGCAAATGCTGGTTTAAATGAGATTTTTGATTAAATGATTTCTTACATACTTCACACATGTAAGGTTTCTCTCCTAGGTGTATAAACATATGCCTATTTAAATCAGCTTTTCGAATGAATGATTTCTTACATTCTTTACATATGTGAAGTTTCTCTCCTGTGCGAATAAGCATATGTTTATTTAAATCAGCTTTTCGACTAAATGATTTCTTACATACTTCACAAATATAAGGTTTCTCTCCTGTGTGAATAAGCATATGTGTATTTAAATCAGCTTTTCGATTAAAAGATTTCTTGCATACTTCACACATGTGAGGTTTCTGTCCTGTGTGAATAAGCATATGCTGGTTTAAAGTACCCTTTTCACTAAATGTCTTCTTACATTTTTCACACATATGTGGTTTCTCTCCTGTGTGAATACGCATATGCTTATTTAAATTACTCTTTTCAGTGAATGCCTTCTTGCATACTTCACATATATAAGGCCTCTCTCCAATGTGAATGCGCTTATGGCTGTTTAAATGAGGTTTTTGATGAAATGATTTTTTACATACTTCACACGTATGATGTTTCACTCCTGTGTGAATAAGCACGTGCTTGTTTAAACCACCCTTTTCACTAAACGTCTTCTTACATGATTCACACATATAAGGTTTCGCTCCTGTGTGAACATGCATATGAATGTTTAAATGACCTTTGTGATTAAATGATTTCTTACATACTTCACACATATGAGGTTTCTCTCCTGTGTGAATATGCATATGCATGTTTAAATGAGCTTTTTGATTAAATGATTTCTTGCATACTTTACACATGTAAGGTTTCTCTCCCATGTGAAGAAGCACATGCATCTTTAAATGAGCTTTTGAGTTAAATGATTTTGAAAGATCACAATCATCATACACATGAAGTTTCTCCTTTCTATGGATATCTACAAGCAATTATTACCCACTGCTTCTTCCAAAAGATGGATTGCATACATGTAGACCTGAAAGTTCTTCTCTATACTAAGATCTATGAGCTTGTTACATACACCAAGATGATGTTTACATGTGTGCATGGATGTATAATAGGGTGGTTAAGTGAATTTCACCCCAAACTACTTCTAGACTAAATTTCCATGGCTTGCATAAATACACATGTAATTATCTTGCTCAAAACATTAACACATATTATGCATGAGACTTCTCGAACGTACTTCCTTACTGGCTTGATTTCCAGGAACACTCTTGTAAAATCAATTTGTTACATTACAAAGAATTACTATTTCTCGCTCAAGAATATTTACGTAATTAGTGTTATTTTAGGCAATGCATCATATATGCCTCATACTGCATACTTATTCTTACCGCATGAAGTTTTGATTCGTCTACATTTGTTAGTGTTTAAGAGTTGCTTATACGTGTTAAAAAATTTGCACATTACAAGGCCTTGCGAAGTCCATATTCCATAATCCTAAGTATCTGACTAGAGAGAAACAAAATATTAGTTTAATTAGCAACACATACAGTTCATTTATTACTTCATATATCAGACAGACACATATAAAAGATAAAAATTCCTTGCTTGCTTTGTTCAAGCAAAGAACATGTACTGTACACAGACTTTCTTTGGTTCAATTGACGTTACGAGAATTCTCTGGGTCACATGTGACGTCAAAAGCGGGGTGTTTTAGATTTACCCCACAGGATTACCTGCTTTTCGGTTGCTGTTTTCTGAACTCTGCCAGTGACATTTTTGGCGAGCTAAAGTGTTTTTTGATAAAATATTTTAATGGGTAATTTGGTATGTTTGTTGTAATTAAACACTGATTACAAATTATTGTAAAGTATTTATTTTTGAGACAAACTTTTTCTAATATTTATTTTCATATATTGCCTTTTAGAACAGATAAATTTAGCGGAATTTCCTTGTGAACAAAGGAAAAAAAATGTTTCAGAATAGCAAGCCGTTGTTAGGGGCGATTCTAACATTTTAACCCCAGCGTTAAGGATTCTCATCAAAGCTAGCGTAAATTTGACCAAGGTTCTTTAATATACTAAGGTTAGGCCAGGAACGGCAAGCGTGCCATTGGTGCTGGTAGTGACGTCACCGGGAGACAAGAAGCATCGGCCGACGCGTCTGCTACATGATTTGGTAATGGAAAAAATGTAACTAAAGCAAAATGATCATTTATATGTGGTAGATACACCGGAAATACGGGTATATACTTTCCGATTAAGTATTTTGTTAAAGAAAATGTTATTTTATGCACAGAATCGTACGAATGCTGAAAATAATTGTAAACATTAAATTCTTTTCGTAAAGGAAAGCATTAGAAAATGAAAAACGATATTTAAGTTAATTAAGGGAAAAAATATGCAAAACAAGGATTTTTGAATATTTTCTAGTATTGTTTGCACTAAATAAATCTTGTTGAACAGAACACATGATGGCTAACTGCTAAGACGAAAAACATAATCAAAAAAGTATTATTTGTTATTTTCTTGCTCATGCACTTTTTTTAATACAAATGAACTTTGACATTCCATGAGAAATATATGATCGTTTTTCATTTAAATTAAATATTCAAGCAAAAATATACATAAAAAGATGACTTAACAAATTCATATTTAAATACATAAAATTCTAAAATTTCTTAATATCCGTATTATACTTTTAAATAGTATACTATCACATTTTTTAAAGTGAAAGTCAACTTCATACTGATTCACTTCAGATTTTAGCAGAAGTGCATATATTTCAGTATAATCTAAAAGTACTCTTATAACCCTTACACTCCCAAGATTCTATATAAATTTATCTGACGTGTTATTTGCTAGTAAATAATCTCGATATGGCACTATCTTCCTTCCATACATTAAAAATGGAACAATAAAATACATTGCTTACACATCGACACTAATAATAATAAACTTCCCTACATCTTAGTTTTGGCCACCAGCGGCCGAGCGGTAAAGTCGCTGAACACTGGTAGTTCGTCCGAATCCGCGAACGGGCTGGCCTGGGCGTTTTCGGGTTTTCCTTATGTGAAAGTTTACGAGCCAGTTTCCCTGGAAAGTCCACCACAAGGCATCACAACTATTACGCAGTAGCTCTATGTGCGTGCATAATTAAATACACCACCACATCTTAATTAAATCAGACTGTACACAAATTAAATATTTTAATTACTAATGTATTTTTATAAGGTTGTTTCTTAAATACTTTGATACTCGAAATATGTGTTCAATATTGAAATTATTTTTTTTCTTATATTAAAAACAAGTTATATGGAATCAAAATAAAAGGATGCAGCAGTTAAATAACATGAACAGAATTCTTACTTACTCTTCGCTATTTTATTCTAGCATATCACAGATTTGTTCCTTCAGGTTCAAGCATGTGTAAGTTATATCAATTAAATTACATCACACATACCTGTATGCATCAGTTAAATAACACTGAACGAAATATGTCACTCACTCATCGGTTTGCATCATAGTGAGGTCGAGATGTTTTCCTCACGTGAGGCATGTATCAGTTTACTTAGTTCGCAAAGCTTAACCCAGACGCTGCTTCAATACATAGAATTACAAGGAGGTTAGAACAGAAGGAGGAGGGTTCACAGTTTCTCCACTATGGGGGATGAACTACCGAAAAAGCGGCGTCCATGTTTGGAACTTAAATATGCATTACGGCAGTGAAACGTACGTGTTTTTAAGTGTTCCGTGCAGATTTCCATAAAAATTATAAAATTTTATAATGAAAGCTTCGCTTGTTAGTTTTTTGTTAAAGTTATAAAGATGATATCCGTAATTTACTTACATAAGAAACATCATTAAGTATAATAGTTCAATCTAAAGGCATTGCATAACATTAAAGCCTTAAAAATAATGTTGTGATATTCCAGGAATTTGTTTAGGTTTTTAGCAACTTGTGGGTGTAATTTCCATTTTCCTTTAAGAAGTGATATTTTGATTTATTCACAATATTGTATTTATTAAAGAATAATTTAAAAATAATTTTACCTGAAATCAATAGCAAAATATTTTCTAAAAAATAGTCACAAGTTGCATTTTTAAATGAAAGTTTAAATAGATTCTTTTCCAACCCAAACTTATAATAACAAGAAAAATAAATATAATAAAATAAAACAGATTTATGTGCTTTAGTGATTGATTCATTATGCGCGTTTCATTTTATGATCAAAGCAATAGCCTTGAATTAAGGAATTAGAGAAATAGACCCACAAATTTGTAAATTTATGCAAAAAAAATTTTTTAACAACAGAAAGTTAGTTTTCTGATCAAATGCACAAATTATATTAAACAGTTCACAAACTTAAAAATGAATAATAATTATACATAAAGAAGCATTACTTTGTTTAACACCTTTACAATCATAAAAATGTAACAACGGTGTCTTACTTTTCATGAAAATTATAAACGAATTCCAAAATAAAATATATAGTTTAAATTCTAGCATAATCATTGTATGTTAAGGAACAAAGATGCCAGCTATAAACCGAAACATTAAAATGTATTTAACATATTTTCTTTATTATTAAGTCCTTTTTTCACATCTGAAAGAACAACAACATGCATTGTATTTTTTACTAATATCAAAGTACTAAAAAAAAAATACTCGCGGGAAAGTAATCAGAACCTTTTCGAAATGTTGTGCATTCATATGCAACACAAGCGAATACTCAAAAGAAAGAAGAAAATATTGTAATCGGACTTCCTTGCACAAGTCAAAGTGATAACATAACAGGCCCCTAGTTCACCGTTGAGTGAAACTCCCTCTTCTATTATACCTCCTTGTAGAATTACTTGGGCTGTAAGAAGTAAGAAACCATGTGATGAGTGGGAGAGCGATTTATTAAATATGACATTCGGGTCTAGTATGATCAACATGACATGAGTTTAATCTCATCGATGTAAGTCTCATACACAATGAGATTATATAAAAAAGTATTTAAAATGAGAAATTTTTCAATTTAATGTAAAATAGCAGTAGAATGAAAAATAAATGTAAAATTACATACAGTTATGCATGAAAAACATAAATTCATTAAAAAATAGTTTATTTATATGGTTGTAAGAGTGGTTTCCGCAAAAAAAAAGTATACGTGTCTAATTTGAAAACGTATAGCACCAATTGCCACTTCCGCTAGGTATCATAGCAAACTAACAACACAAATCAAAAAAACTGTTGATGCAACGAGAAACAAACGCAAACTAACGCTGTCACCCAATGACGTCATGCGTATGTGGCATAACTTTCTCCTGCATGCGCATCGCTTGGCCCCCCCCCTGAATTTGACGTAAATGACGAGACGGTGTTAGTAAGGGACATCGGGCAGGCTCATCCCGGGGTGCAGAACTCCGTTTAAGGGCGCTGGATTTTGGATTTTTTGCCTTTATTTCTGCGTAGCGGACCATGGAGAGGCTCGTGGAAATTTACACAAATCAGATTAAGGAGTTAGATAAAAACAGAGAGAAAAATGATGGAAAATTATCAGACATTGAAAACACTTTTTACAACTTTCTGCTTAGTTCACTTGAGATTGTAAATGCTTTGAAAGAACAAAATAATAGTGTCATTGATAAAACACCCACACCTAACACCGCTAAAAATTTAGATGAAAATAGCAGGGCCAGAAGTCCTATAACACTCCATGATGATCCAATCAACAGTACTGAGGAAAAAACACTCGATCAAGACACAAGTTCAGATGAGGAACCAATTAAACGCCGCAGAGGCCACCAGACCGTGAGAACAAAAATTCACAAACCCATTGCTAAAAAAGTGAAACTCAGTACGCACACACAAATAATCTCACCGATCATTACAGCTAATCAAGCTAGTAATAGCATAAATGATCATACGCCGATTAACAGTGTGCAAACACAGGTTGAACATAATCAAGATAACGAATCTGATAATAATATGGATACTAACGTTAACGAAACAGAAAATCAGGATAACATAAATAATCAGACGATAACAAATAATGACAGCACTGAAAGTAATACACAAATTCAGAGACTAATACGCAAAGAAAACTCCCACCACTAATTCTTAAGGAAAATGTCATGACTTGGGGAAATATCAAGAAAATATTTCACACCAAAAAATTCTCATTTATCGGACAAAATCTGAGGAATGATGGCATAAAGGTCATTGCTGGAGATGCTGAAAGTTATAGGGGCATGGTTAAAGTGCTCAAAGAGCTCAAAGTTGAGCACCACTCCTACATACTGCCTCAAGATAAAAATTTAAAAGTGGTCATAAATGGACTCACTACTACTTCTGATATAGAGGAAATTAAAACTGAATTAGAGGAATTGAATTACAAAATTATTCGAAATTAAACAAATGTCACGACGACGAGGGGGGGAAGTCATTCCACTCCCATTATTTCTTGTTACACTACCAAAAACTGACGATTCGAAACGAATCTATAATGAATACAAACTCTGCGATATGAAAATCAAAGTAGTGGAGTATAAAGGCAGACAGGGGCCCATACAGTGTTTTCGCTGTCAGGGCTTCAATCATACCCAAGCCGGATGCAATTATGCTCCGAAATGTGTCCGATGTGGCGGAGGCCATTCAATTAAAGAATGCCCTGACAGAAAAAATCCTGATAAGCCCCTAGTCTGTGCGAACTGCGGGGGACCTCACACA